AACCGGGGCCTACCAGAAGCCACTAGAGGTCTTCAGCAAGGCAGTGGCAGGGGACTCACCAGGTGTACTCGGTGGGGGCTGTTTAACTGGGTGGGGGCAGGGGAGCTGGGCAGATCTTGGAAACATTCCACTTTAGACTTAAGGACGTCTTAGGAATGCGATTCGAGCAGGAGGGTGATGCTCCCTCAATGCCCTCCTGTGACTCTCACACCACAGATACCCACTCTGTGCTACAACGGCAACCTGGTTTCTTAGGGCCCCAGGGCTCAGGGACACCCAACACCCTAAGAGGAATGGGCGAAATCAATAGAACCTAGTGGGTTAGAGCTAGAAAATGGGGAGCAACACAGGATAAACAGCCCGTTCTCCCCACCTGAGCATACCTAGCACTTGATCTGGCCCAGATCCTACCACAACCCTACACCTCACCTGGGCATACCCAGTGCCTGGCCTGCCCCAGTTCTGTTTTTCCAGCTTTTGGACCACGCTTGGAGTCACCCTGCTCCACTGCCTGTTCACAACTGATGGCAAGCCCAGTGGGACCTACTTTCTAGGGTCTGACTCTGGGTCCTGCTTCTGGTAGCACACTGGTCCAGCCCTGCCTGGTCTACCAGTGTTTTCACACCTCTCTCTAAGTGGAACCGGGACCTCTGCCTGCGCCCTCTCCCCCCTGTAGCTCTGACCAGCTCCAACGGCCCACAAGGCCTTGCCTACCTCCTCCCCCCCCCAACGTGTGACCCCTCCCCTCTGCTCCAGGCCACCCCTGGGGCTACCTGCCTGCTTCACCAGAGACTGTCTTCAGCTCACGCAGCCTGTGACCCCATCCTGAGACAGTCCTGGACACAGCGGTCCTGGACACAGCGTCTGCAGAGAGGTCCCCACCAGTTCCCTGAGGCCCTACCACCTCTTGGCTTCCCAGTAACTTGTGGATATTGCCTCCCAGCCCAGCCAGCTCTGCATGAGCTCCCTGAGGGAAGGATTTCCGTTTTCCTCACTGATCCATGTCAGCACCTACAATTTGCATCTGCACACCCAGGTCAGGTGTGAAGGACAGATCCTCAATACCTCCAACATGGCCCTCCTGCCTCCACACACACTAACACACACGAGTCCCTGTCCTAAAGAGCAAGCAGGACAGATTCTATGCATATGAGCCACAGGGCCCTTCCTTATGTAAATCATAAGCCCACTTTTGCTTAGAGATTTGTCTTTAAGCTGAATCTGGTCTCCTGGGGTACACTTTAAAACAATGATCTTGCAGAAACTTCCATTTGTTAGGAGTCATTAATTCTGCACACATGCTTTGTAGGAGATTCCAGGAGCTTCTGCAGCTCTGCAGAGGCCCTGGGCGGAGCCACATCTGCTGACAGGCTCCTGTGGATGAGCCTTGCAAACATCAGTGAGCAGCCATCACCGTCAAACCCACAGTGAGACAGGAGGGTCCCAGATGCAGCCCATCTTTGCTCAGTGAAGACTGACACCTGTGAGTGTCTATGTCCACCCAGTGCCTGGGAACACATGTGAGGAAGAACCCATAGGCCACTCGCACCCCAGGCACCTGTACACATCGGCCACTCTTCCTCTTGTTTTCCTTATGTTACTTCAGAGCACTGTCCTGTGATCGGCCCTGGGCGCAGAGAGCCAGGCCTAGCTCTGAGACTCATGCAGCTGGACAAGGCAACCCACCCGTGACAAGACCACAGTCCCTGCAGCCACTGCCTAGGTGGTCAGTCTCTTCCCACCTCAAATCCCCTCCCCACTTCTGACCCCAGACAATCCCTGGGGTGTCCTCTGCAGTGGCCACATCTGCATGTCCCCTGTGCCTGTCAGGGCATGCCTGTGGCCTCTGCTGTCCCAGCCACGAAACTGCCCTCTGCCCTGCTGTGTGCCTCTGAGTTCTGAGGCTTGCAGAGGTGAGGTCCCTCACTGTGGCCAGCTCTAAATAATAAGCTGTCTGTCCTCATTTGGGTGGCCTTTGTGTTCCCGCACCCCATGAGCTGATACCTTGGACTGTGGACATGACCTGAGCCTCAAGGACTTTTTGCTGTCCCAGCACTGCTGTAACTGCCGTGAGCTGGTGAACCCCGGGCAGGTCCCCACACTCCTCACTGTCTCACAGACCACCTCTGGGGCCCTTTCACTGCCACCTTGCCCATCAGTCAGTGGGACAGATGGACAGACAGCCAGATGACCCATATGGCAGCACCATCCTCCCCCTTGCCCACTCCCAGGCTACCAGGGCCCTTGACCTTGTAGCTTCAATACCTGTGGGACGCTCCTATGGCCCTGGATAAGAGAAGAGGCCACCCACCCTGCACCTATCCACCTGCCCCCACCATACCACCCACTGCTATGGGGACTCAGAGGCTTCTCAATCTCCCGGCTTGTACCGGGAGTACCGACAGTACCACAGCCAGCAGGCCACCAATGCGCTTTCTCAACCTAGACTTTTCTGGTCACGTGGTCACTTTGGGCCACTGTACTGTCCCTTCTAGGCTACCCCTTGATCCCTAGTGTTTTCTTTGACATGACTGATAATCTGGAGGGCTCAAGTTTAGACTTCTGCCTATGTTACACCCCACTCTGGCAAGATCCTGGGTGATCCTGCCCCTGCAGACCCCTGCAGCGATGCCTTTGTACACTGAGCTGCAGGAACTCACGTCCAACCACCAGGGTCTAATCCTAGGCTGGTTACATGAATCAGAAACCTCCTTTCCTAGGATGGAATTTTTCTTTCCATTAAACATACGGGGGTTTTAGCAAATAAGTTTTAAATTTAAATTTAGTCACATTTATTCATTTTCTTGTGTCTTATTGAAGAACCTCGTTTAAGTGGAGACACAAAATCTGCCAGGTGCTGCCTTTTGTATTCAGGCCATTCCCAGACCTGGCACCTGCCCAGCGTGTCCTGCAGAGGGCCAACCTTTGTCCACAGACAGTCCACTGTCCAGGACTGCTGTGAATGCTGTGTCCAGCAGAGACACTGGCTGTGGCCCACACTCCCTCCCTTCCTCCTGAGTGGCAGAGCCTCAATTTCATTCAGGTGACAATGAACAGACTGCCCCCACCCCCACCTGCTCCCCTCTACAGCGAGAAGTGCCTGATGTCCACTTTCTGGTAATGAGATGAGCGGGCTGGGAGGCATATTTGTTTTCCTGGGGACCTGCCTATCCTTAGCCATGTGGAGAACTTCAAGACAGAAGACACTCCTAGATGGTGCAGGAAGAAGATGAGACCTGGGCCCTACATGACCCTGAGCCACCAGAGCCTTCTGGACCACTGATTTCTGGGCTCGGTTTAAGAGACTCGTGTGTGTGTGTGTGTGTGTGTATGTGTGAACACGCGCACGTGCGCGTGTGCTATAGGGTCTGCACAATTACTGAAGAGAGATGGAGAAAGAGGGAGAAAGAGAAAGAGAGAAAGTAACCCCCAGGGGATGGTCAAGCTACAATCTCTTCTCTATTCTCCTCTTGGGATTTAGGGCATGCATGTGTATGCACCTGGCATAATTTTCAAGCTACTGGGTCCAAGACTTGAACCATGTGGGATTTAGCACCTAAACCACCAAGCCATCTGGCTGGCTTCTAAAAAAGAAATTTCTGTCTAGAAGTTACGTTTCCTCTTCACCATAGACCAAACTCAGAGGTGCTACACACACACCCACAGGTCTCTTTCCAGATGTGTATCTATTATCCTGCTACAAGGATGCTACT